TTTTTTTTTGCGGCACGAGCGAATATTGTAATGTGGGAAGAGGGTCAGTAGTTAAGCTAAAAACACTTTCCACGCGGTTTCCGAAGTTTCCCCCGCTATAACAACCCCAAGGTAAGAAAAATTCCGCAAATTTGAAAGGAAGTCCATGAGACGCTGCCTAGGGAACACGCGAGAGAAAATTTTTCGAGCTGACTGACGAAATGCAGAGCGGTGAGGTTAGTGCAAAGTCGAGGGCATCTCGTAGCCGACGACGAGAAGGAATCGAGGAAACGGGGTTTAACTTAAGGGCACATGCACTCAAGTTACTTGCACCGTCTTCGTGCTCGGCAAGGATGAAATGGTTCCGCTCAGAAAACATTCTCGGGCGTTCATGAAGTGCAAAACGTCCTGGAATGGTCAAACGGTTGAAACAAAATCGTCTTATGAACAAGGAAGGAACGGTTTGGAAGAATGCCGTGAGTGAGTCTCTTGGACTTTTTTGAGTCGGTTTCTATTTCTCCGATTTCTACATCTCTTCTACCGACGGGCACGGCCCTCCTTCAGCCTTACGAGACGGGACCGATTCTCGAGCTACGAGCGGTGGACGGAAAGCCTTCGGCTTGCCTTCTCGATCCTCGGCAGGGCACATCCCACGACGCAGCCGGCGAACACAGCACAGACCCCACGACGCAAAATAAGAGATTCAACTCCATCGTGGATCCACGAACCTCACGAGGAACGACAGGAGCGGAAGGACGCAGCTGCCGCGGGTCGGGAGCGAATGGCACATGCGCCTGTTGGACACGGGGTTTACACCTTCGGCGAGCTATTGCGAGCTATGGCGAGCCATTTTTTTTTTCCGGAACTTCCTCTCCCCGAGGGCTTACAGCACCACCGTAGGTATATCATTTTGCCGAGATAGACGATCTACAGGGTGTATGATAAGTAACCCACTATTTTAAAATGCTTAAAACTCTTTCATTTTTTAACGGAATTTAATGAAACAAACTGTGAATTATGCACCAGTTAGCGAGGTTTTTATTCGTCCAATTTCCACACTTCCTCGCATGCTCCTGCATTAACACATTTCTTTAAGCGAACGGGTATGTTTCCCACGGCTGATCGCAACATGTGTCGAGGCACGTTATGGAGAGCGTTGTTAACTCTTTCTTCAAGTTCATTAAGATTTCATTCAGTTCATTAAGATTTCATTCAGTTCATTAAGAACGAGTGCCTGCACGAACTGGTTCACCAGAATTCTTGGAAACATCGAGTTAAAATTTTCAATGTTTTCAGGCGTTCGCGAGGTTGATGGTCGTCATGATTTGGTCCTGTCTGTTACTGAACCGGTTGTCATTAACTCACTCATCAATTTAATGACTTCGGAGGACATTTACTTATTGTCTTAGCACTTTCAACCCTCCACCATCGCAGAACTTGAATTGTTTATCCCGAAACTTCGTTGCAGGCAGCTATTTTGGCCCATTGTTAAACAGTCTGTCAGCCATTCTCTAACCTAAAACGAAAACACAAACGAACATAAAAATCTCACTAATTGGTGCATAATTCACAGTTTGTTTCATGAAACTTCGTTAAAGGAATAAAAGAGTTACAAGCATTTCAAAATAGGGATATCGGATCTATTGATCTGTGTTAATCCTGTCTCCTCTGAGATTAGTTTGGGATTAGAGTGAAAAACCAAAATCGCTGGTTAAACAGGCAGCGTCTTGCATCCAGGTGATTTAGTTATTTTTTTTGGGGGGAATATCAGGCTTTCCCTTTCGACGGAAACGGGGACTCTCGACCTCCGTCAGGAAACAAACGGATTGATAGCCTGTCTCGATAGCATTACATAGCTGGGTATCAGAAACGAGGGAAATGTCTATCGGCGAGCCACTCAGGTTGCTAATTTTACTGCTTTTCGAGGGCGGACTCTCTTTCGAAAAATATATTCCGTCAAGCGTAATCGCTGCGGTATCAAGACGAATTTCCTGCGTGATATGCAGACGGGCTACATTATCTTTCGTAACAATCAATGATGCGAGAACTAGAAAAAGATCTGGGAAGAATCGCGAGCGCGAGCTCGTACAAGTACGCTTCTTGCACGCCAAAAGCTGAAAACCAGGTTGCATTCCCCCACTATATATACCTTCCACAAATTTGGGAAACGCTGAACGCATGACGAGTCTGGATGAATGTAAACGATTGGGGAGTCGAGGAGGTAGAGTCGATGCAAGTGAATGACGCAGGTAGGTGGCCTTTTTTTCCACCTAATTGAACGAAATCTCACCTCGTTCCGGTCTTCGACCATCAAAAACCTCATTTCTCATTAACATCAGGTGAACCTAGACAAACGGAGCCCATGAAACGATGATGAGAGGATGGAAGGCTTCGTGGTTGGATGCATCCTCCACGAAAGTTGGTAGGGCACTGACAGCTCTGGTAGCTGACACGGCGCCGGGCTCAAAGCCTGGGTCGCACGCGCATGCGCATTGTGATCTGCATCCTGAAGGGCGCACAGGTACTCATAGCTTTCCCTCTTGACGCTTGTTTCATATCAAAAGAGGAAAGCGAGAAGGACGTCAGCAGTAACGCCTCGTCCCGCACCGATAGGGAACGCAAACGGATATCCCTCGATAAGGCATCATCCTTTTGGGAGAGCGAGAAAAGGAAAGGATGACTCTTGAGAAAGTTCGCTTCAGGCAAACTCCCTCTCCATGCTCCTCGGAGTGAATAGACTCCTGCAGGTGCGTTCCAAGTCATCTTCTGACATTTTCTGTCCGGGAACACATGTTTCAGGCCGTCTTTATCTTCAGCCTCGATGATTTTGAAATTAGTTAATTCTTTATCCTGCGTCTTTCCAAAAAGTTTCTCTTGCAAACTCTCAAGTGTCTAAAATGTAGCCTCTTCTGGTATTGGTACAACTTTGCTGACTGGAGGTCGCACAGCCCACTCTGCCCTGAAATTGCCCAAACCGATAGTCCTATGTGCAACATGAAAAAAGGCACAAGACTGGCAGAAGTGCACCAAGAATGCCTGCTCATAGTTTGGGACGAACGCCCCATCTCTCACAAATTGGTTCTTGAGGCCCTTGATCGGACATTGCAGGACATTCGGGGTAACAAGATCCTAGTGGGTGGAGTCACATTGGTGTTGTCAAGGGACTTCCGTCAGACCCTGCCTGTCATTCAACGGGGACGGGCGCTGATGAAATTAACGCTTGTTTTTTTAAAAGCATACCACCTGTGGAGACAAGTAGAAAAATTGAGACTGACCAGAACATGGTTGAACATCTGCAAGGGGATGCCACTGATGGATACTTTGCAGCTCTTCTCCTTCAGATGGGCAATCGACTGTTTGCAGTTAACCAGACTGATGGAAAAGTGGCTTTTCCATCTGGTTGCGGCAACATTGTGCAAACGGTTGATGAGCTGAAAGCCAAAGCGTATTCAAACATAGCTCAGCACTTCATGAACCACAAGCGGCTGTGCCAACGTGCAATTCTTGCACCAAAGAATGAAACTGTTAATTCCATCAATCGCCAGATTTTGCAACAACTACCAGGTCAGGAAAGGGCCTTCAGATCCATTGACTCTGTGGTTGAAACACGTGAGTCTGTGCAGTACCCAACAGAGTTTCTTAACTCTCTAGGGACATCAGGAATGCCTCCGCACAGCATGTTGTTAAAGATTGGGGCCCCCTTAATGCTGCTGCAAAATCTGGATGCTCCTAAACTGTGCAATGGTACAAAGCTGTCTTAAGAGACTGATGCTACATGCTATTGAGCCCACAATCATGTGTATTCATCCCGCACATACCGATCACTCCCAATGACATGCCTTTCAAATTCAAGCCTCTCTACTTCCCTGTTAGACTTAGTTTTGCAATGTCCATCAAGGAGGTTCAGGGCCAGTCTTTGAAATTTGTTGGACTTAATTTAGAATCTCCCCGTTTTGCACACGGCAACTGTACACGTTGGCTGTTCGAAAGTTGGATCAGGCAGCGATCTTTTCATTCTGGCTCCCAATGGACGAATGGCCAGCATAGTTTATCAAGAATTATTGTGTTAAGGTACTACGGGAACATAAAAATCGACCCCCCTGGATAAAAATTCTGCTCTATAATTGTTGTAAGGGACCTCAAGAAAGGGCCTTGGAGCCCATTGCTGGCTCTCTCAGGTCAACCCCGGGGCCATGATCTGTGGTCAGAGGTCAAAATTTGCATGCTTCTCTTTGAAAATCTCC